CGAAGTAGTCATTAACAAAAATATTACGCCAAATCAGCAGTCATTTCTCTATTACAGGTAAATTCAAATTCCATCAAGAGAGCGAATTTGAATAAACATCAGTTCTTTGGAATTTGCTCCCTTCATCTTGTTTTCCTGATTCATATAATTTGAAATCTTTTAAGGCGTCTCTTCCAGTAACTTCCAACTCTAATAGTGGTTGCTTGCAGCCTTATTGGAAGTGAGGATGTTAAAAAAAAATTCTGGTATTAACAGGCTTGAGCAGGAATGGCGTGCGGTCGCACTCTGTAACTGACCACGCTAATAGTTTTTTTTTTTACAACTTGAAAATGGCTATTTTGATGTTTTAACAATTTAATTGCAATAAAAAGTGTTACGTTATGAATAACTTTTAATTCATTGATCTTTTCTAAAGTTTTTATTTTATGCAAAGTGTTTAAGATAAAACCATATAATTAATTACTTTTTTAATGATTGTTTACATAAACACATGGGTAAATTTAATAAAAAATGTTCTATAAATTTTTTATATGTAGGAATGTGCTTTTCATGATAAATTTAAATGTTTGAAACTATTTTTTAAAGCATTAATTTTAGAAAGATTTTCTTTTAAGTTACTTAAGTTAATTAAAAGTTAATTAGAGCATAAAATTATTAAAAATTACTATTTTAAAAAAACTAATTTATTTTTTTTAAACAAATTTTTATTTGCAACTTTTTTGAAAAAATAAATATTTACAATTTAAAAATATTAAATACAACACTTTTTAATAAATTTGATAAAATTTGTTCCTTTATTAAACGATCATTAGTAGTAATTTGTTACTTAATTTAAAAGCGTTTTGCATAAATTTAATAAAACGCTTAAAAAGATTTATTTCGAATGTAAATAAAAACAAAAAGTTTTGCTTCTAGTTTGTATTTTTATTTTAGTGCTTATATAATTTTGTAAAGAATTTTTTTTTGTTAGGAATTTTTTTTTCGTTTTTCAAAACTTTTGTACACTAAAAAGTGTACTATGTAATTTTCATCTAGTAGTGTTGTACTTTTGTATTGCAAAAATGTATTATATCAATATTTTTAATTAGATTTTTGATTATTGAGTGGTTTAAGTCTTTGATTTTCACACAACCAAAAGTGTATCTATGTTAAATTTGAACTTTTACTCTAGAAATTTACCCAAAGTAATAGAAAAATTGTAAAGATTAATGTCTGTTTTATTCATGTTGCCAAAATTGTGTCACATTGTAGCAACTGCACTCCATCAGGCTTGGACAGGAATGGCATGCGATCACACTCTGTAACTGACCACGCTAATATTTTTTTTTCTTTACAACTTGACCACGGCTGTTTTGGTGTTTTAACAATTTAAATGCAATTTAAAATGCTATGTTATGAATAGCTTTTAATTGTTGATCTTTTATAAAGTTTTTGTTTTATGCGAAGGCTTTAAATAAAACCTTAAAATTAATTATAATGATTGTTTACACAAACGCATGTGCAAATTAATAAAGTATACTATATATATATTTTATATAAGCATGTATTTTTATAAATTTAAACGTTTGAAGCTATTTGTCTATATCTTCCTAAAAATCTTTTAAACCATTATTTTTAGAAAGAAGTTTTTATTTTCTTTAATTTATAAATAAGTTCAAAACATTTTGCGACTTTTACACATTTTATGTGAATTACTCAAGAATTTAAAATAACTTTATTTACTTATATAAGCATGTGTTTTGTTGATTAGTCTAAAAGTTTTGAAGTATTTTGTATTATCTCGTTCTATACGCACAATAATCAACTCTTTCTCATCCTTTGTTTTCCTAGCTTGGGAACCATCAGAAAGAATGCTAAAAAAGCTTTTCTCATTTACAATTTTTAGCAATTTTTTTTTAACGGCATTTGTGATGCATGAGATAAACTGGCGTGTTAAAAATAAATCAAATTTGGTTATGCTTTTGTTCATTCTATTAGAGGGTGTTCAAAAAACACGTGACCGATATAGGTAGGGGCTGTATTTAAAAAGTAAACAACAAATATTAAATAAGAGAGATGTGATTCACCGTGTAATACGAGAAAAAACATAAAACTACAACAAAAATTCATGGGAAAAAAAAATTTTTATCTTATAAATTACCTTAAATTACAAACTCGGATATATTTTTTCATTAAAAGTAAATTATTTTATTATTTACACATATTTATTCGGTAATTTTAACATTACTTGAAAGTTGATAAAACTGAAAATTTCGGGAAATATAATTTGCTATGACGTAATAAGTGGCATGCGATTTTTGTCTTTTATTTTGATTTCAAATATACAATTGGGTGTGGGGGGAGGGGAAGTCTTTAAATTGCAACAAAAATATCATATAAAAGGGGGGCTATGAAAATGTCAAAACATCATGCATTATTTGAACAGCTCCTTTGTAAATATAAAATTAATTAAAAATAAATTACCTGCTTGGTTGTTGCTTTTTCCATTTACAAGACTCACACCATTAAGTTTTTGACACTTAATAAGTATTTCAAAATGACTATAAGGCATACTTGGTTTTAGAGCCATCTCGTATGCTGTTTTAATCATCTTAGAATACGATTCACGGGTGATTTGTTTATTATTTAAAGACTTATGAATATCAGGATTTATGAGGCAACTATTTCCAGTTTCACTAGTAGAGTTTTCATTATCAATTAGCACCACTAATTTATGAATGCGTCCTTTAAGATGGCAATCAAACTTTATTACAAATCAGGACTTTAAGGTCAAAATTAAAACATGGAAGTAGAAAATCTATTATACTAGATAAATAATGCCAAATATATAAAGAGAAATGTATAAGTTATATCTGAAAAAATGTCCAACCAAATTTTTTATGTAAAAATTGTTTAATGTATTTCCTAAAATGACACTTCAAATAAGCTACAAAATTCAATTGCACTTGGTGTTTTGTTACTACAGTAATTTCCTCTGTAAACGCATTTAAAGAATAAACCACTATTCCCTTAATTGAACAACCTTTTAAAATAGCTAATTAAAACCTTACACCATATTTTTATTACTACTCTATTTTCTTTTATGTATCCTATAATCCCTTCTTTCCCACATGAAAGAAAAGTTTTTAAGCTATTATATATTGGTTTAATAACTTTAATTTTTTTTTAGTTCAGATGACATTCTAAAAAATTCTATAACTTAAACCAATATCTAAAAACTATTTTCTCTTAAAAACTAATCTGAAATAAAAATTGAAAAACCCATGCATGAAGTATTATTTTTGTGAATACAGCGAAGCTGTTCCGCTCCCTTTTCATAGTTTATTTTTGCCATCACATAGCTGCAGGCTGGGTTTTGATAACTTTAAATAACTGATTCAGCGGTCTAGCAGCCACTGAAATATTTTAAAATTTACAGAGGCCTTTTTTTTTGGCAACTTTTTAAAAAAAATAAAAGTTTATACAATTTAAAAATATCATATGCATAACTCAGGCTTGGTCGGGAAGCTGATTGCACTCGATAACTGACCACGGAAATAATATTTAGTTGCGAAAATCAAATTTCGCAAATCATCAAATTTAATAAATAATTTTAACCACTAATCCATTTTCCTCAGTGTACCCGATAACTGATTCTTTCCCCCAAGACAAAATAGTTTTTAAGTTCTTAGAAATTGGTTTACTAAGTTCAATTATTTTTGCTTCAGCCATTCTTACAAACTCGTTATACTTAAACTTAA